CAATAAGTAGAAATAAAAGAAGAGGACAGACCAGGGACTTAAGAAGGGGACAATGGAGAAAATCCCCACAGGGGTAGAATGAAAGCCAGGAAAGAATGGGAAGCACAAAGACCAGGGTTTTAATTTTAGCTGTCACACTTAAGAACATAGCCAATTTTCTCAATTTTTGTATGTCTTGTTCCATCTGTGAAATGAAAGTAATCATGCCTACATTACGAAAGTATTGAGTAATAATATATGTGAATGTGTTCAACACATTGTCTGGTACCGAATAGCCACACAATGTTAAATTCTCTTTCCTCATTACTTGTGCACAAAATACAAGTAGGATGGAAGGGAGGAGAATAAGGAAAATAATTGTGCACTTAAGAAAAAACATAGTAACAATTAATCCTAAAACTATGATAATGGAAGACCAATATTCAGTGAACAGAAAGTAATACATCTTTCTAAAAATAAAAGCCCCTGAAGTGAGTAGGTAAAAGTAGGAAAGCTGTTACAGAAGTATAGGCAAGAGATCATTAAACCTTGGACTGAGATGGTAGTGGTGCCCATGGTGGGAACTATTCAGGACTGAAATCTATTTTTAAATTGAATCTCTTGTTGACTGTCTGTATTTAAAGCATGAAGCAAAAAGATGAACTCTGAACAACTGGGTGAATTATGATCATTTCTTAAAGGATACTGGAGGTGGAGCAGGTTTGGAGAGGAGCCCTGTTTTGGCCTCATTAAAACGGAAATGCCAATGAGACATCCAGTAGGCATGTCAAGTAGAAGATCTAAATGTGGATACCACAAGCATAAATATGGCATTTAACTCTAAGCAGGGAGTATTGCTAGAAAGAGTTTATTGCTGGACCCTGAAGAATTCCAACTTGTAGAGCTAAGAGAAGAGAGAAGGGACCAGTGAAATTTGAGGAAATAAGGACAGTGTAGCATGAAGAATGTGTCAAAAGTTGCTCAGTGAGGTGAGGTCTAAAAAACATCCATCACATTTAGACATGTGGAGGCAGTGGGGGGCCCCATTGAGAGCATTTCAGTGGAATGCTTAAGACAAAGCCTCAGGTAATACAATACCACCCCAATAAGATCTGAAACCAGAATTGGGGTTTTCTTTTAAAAGGTCACATAATGGATCATGAAATTTCTCAGTTCAAAACATTCCAGTGGATTCCTATTACCCTCAGAATAAAAGATGAACTCTTTACCATGACTTCCAAGTTCCCAGCAGATCTGGCACTTGCTGTCTTACCTCTGACCAAGAGCCGCCTCACCTAGCCCTTTCAGCCCTACTAGCTTCTTGCTCTTCATTTAGAAGCCAAATTCGCTTCTATTAAGAGTCTTTGCATTCACTTTTCTCTAACCTGCATGGGTCCTTCTCCACTTACATGCATAGCCTTCCCTGACTACTGTACATTTAACCAAACGTCCTTGGGAGGCTGAGGCAAGCATATCACCTGAGGTCGGGAGTTCGAAATCAGCCTGACCGACATGGAGAAACCCCATCTCTACTAAAAATACAAAATTAGCCAGTCATGGTGGCACATGCCTGTAATCTCAGCTACTTGGGAGGCTGAGGCAGGAGAATCACTTGAACCCAGGAGGCAGAAGTTGCAGTGAGCTGAGATCACGCCATTCCACTCCAGCCCAGGCAACAAGAGGAAAACTCCATCTCAAAACAAAACAAATAAAACAGACAAACCACACCTTTCCCACATTCTTTAGGTAGTCAACCTTACCTGGAGATTTCTTTTTCCTATGAAAGAAATTTACACTGGGTAGGCTATTTCTGTTTTTGCTTTGGCAAAAAGTAAGTTGGAAAAGGAAAACAAAATCTTTTGAACACAGGCTCACCTGATTATAGAGCTACTGACTTACTTATAATGCTACCAGCGACACGATTCCGATGGTTTCCATAAGGGACTCTTCTTTCACTACACTCTAAGAAAAAACCCACAAGAACAAATAAGATAATAAGCTTAGATTACTTAGAAAAAATAATGGGCTTGAGGAAAAGTGAAAATAAAGTTTAAAATTTACCATTTCTCAAACTTTGTACTCTATAGTTCAATTTAGTCTTAACTCTCTATTTGATCCTAGGTCCTAAAGTGTTCTTTCAAGTCACCGTCATTTGCTTCTACAATCCCACTGTAAACCATTTTAAAATTTTGTCTAGATCTGGGAATATCTCGATCCAAAGATCACTTTTTAGTTACAGCATGAAGTAGTTCCACCTTCTTAATAACATTTAAAATATAGACCATTTCTTATAAAAAATGGCATCCAAGTGATTCATTCAATGTCTACTTTCTAATGTCAGTAGTGAAATGACTTTTACTAAGATAGTTACAATGGGGATAGAAGAACATTGATGGATCTGAGGGATACTTAAGAAATAGAACTGAAGGAAATAAAGAACCAATAGTGAAAAGTAAGGGAAAATGAGAAAATAAAGATGAAGGCCAGGTACAGTGGCTCATGCCTGTAATCCCAGTACTTTGGAAGGCCAAGGCGGTGGACCGCTTGAGCTCAGGAATTCGAGACCAGCTTGGGCAACATAGTAAGACTTTGTTTCTACTAAATAAAAAAAAAAAAAAAAAAAAAAAAAAAAAAAAAAAAAAAAAATTCATGACATGGCTTCTGGCTTAGCCAACTGGTTAGGCAGTGGTATCATGATCTATCAAGGCAGAGAAGAAAAAAAAGGTTTGAAGAACGGGGGAAAACATGTAGTCAGTTTTGGGCATATTGAATTTGAGGTGCTTCCAAGAAATATATTTCCAGCAGTTGGATATGGAGTTTAGTGCAGGTTGTGTTACTGCGTATGCAGGTGAATGACAACCTTGCACTAATATCTAAACCTTCCGGGATTTGTTACTATATTTATAAAATGTGGGTGTCGTATTGATCTTTAAGGTGCTTCCCAGTGCTAAAACTTCAGTAAATTAAACTTCATCATTTGTTTATTTTGCAATTCGGTTTGGATCCCCATTTTCTTTTTAGACTCCAGAGTATCATGTTATTCTTAGCACTTGGGTTCAGCAGCTTTGTTTTTTTTAAAACTATTAACCAGATAGAAGCTTATGAATTCATACAACTTTGTTTTCTCTTAAATTTTAAGGGATTATGAAACATTTGCTTCCCCTACCAACAAAAGACATGTATTCAAGCTTGCTGGACTTTCTTGGGATAAATACAATAATTTTTAAAGAAAATGTAAGATATGCTGATGAAAATTTCTTCTTCATGAATTATCTCATAGATTTGGAAAAGTTGAAGAAACATTACTTCTATTAATAGAAAAAAAGGGGACAGGAAAATGTGGAGAGCACAAAAAATGAGGTTTATGTTTGGCAAGAAAAATAAATCTACAAGGAGGTGTATCAAAATACATTTTAAAAAGAAAAAACCCAGATTTAAGTTGGTGCCTTGCAATTGGCAATACAAAATTCAGTGACAGTAATCAAAGACAGGTCTCTTTAGTCTTGACATTTCGATACTGAATATTCTGGAACTCTTTGTCCTCCTTTCTTCCTAATTGCACATAGCATCTTTGTTATTATAAATTATTTCCAGGTTAATAGAACCAGTAATTTTAAGGAAAGAGAGGATACTAATCTCACTGTCTGAAACAAGTTTAAGAAATAGTCCTGGCCGGGTGCAGTGGCTCATGCCAGTAATCTCAGCACTTTGCCCAGGAGTTTGAGACTAGCTTGGGTAACACAGCAACATCGTGTCTCTACAGGTAACATAAAAATTAGCTGGGCATGCTGGCAATTACTGTGGTCCCAGCTACTTGGGAGGCTGAGGTGGAAAGATTGCTTGAGCCTAGAAGGTGAAGTTTGCAGTGTACTGTGATTGCTCACCGCACTCCAGCCTCAGCACAAAGCCATACTGTGTCTCCACCCGCCCTTCCCCCTCAAAAATAGTCCTGACAATAAATGCAACTTTGGTTCCCAAAACAGTCTTTGTGGAGTAACTGACAGATGAATGGCTCACCATTTGGAGGTTGGGGGTAGGGGGTGGATGGGAAGAGTACCGTATACATGGCTCATTTTAGAGCACTGTTTCCTACTGCCTCAAGAAGTATTGCTGCTTTAGTGAAAATGAATCCTTCAGGGAAATACCACCAATTGAGCAAAATGAACATTCATTCCACAAACTGAACTATGCAGGTTTTTACTATTTCCCATTGGATCAGCTCATAACTGACGTACCTTGAAGCATTACCATAATTATTCCGAAATTTAAAAAATTCCCATGCCATACTGTGGATCACAGATTACAACTTAGTGAGACAGGGGGCCCAGAAATGGACAAGGGGGAGTAGAAATTAAAAAATTATTCCTTTATAAAACAAAATTACTCCAGCTTATAATAGAATTTCATTTTAATAAAATACGATTATTTTATAAAGTATATCTGTAACTCCTCAAACAGGCGAAACTGCATCAGGAAGAAAAGCCTATGCTTTGGAGTCAGTTTGGTTCAGACCTAGTGCCTCTTTGTAATCTGGTATTTTGACCCTTTGAAGCCCAAATCTCTTCCTTAGAAAACTAAGGAAGATAATACTTACAAGGTTATTTGAGGATTAAAAGTGATCATGTATGAAATACATTATTAACAAAAATAAAGACAAAAGAAACACCTTTTCAACTGTAATTGTTAGACTTTTATTATGAATGTATTTTCTGAACCATCATTTCAGCTTTCACTAAAGCTGCAAATCTTAGAGCAGTTAATTTTAAAGAGATTGACTACAGCTTTCATACCATTGATGTTGATGTCTTTTTCTTTAAGTAGCACTATGTGCATTGACACTGATACTGACAGCCAAGTCGGAACCCTAGTTTCAATTTCCCTGTTATAAAAGCTATTCTACTTACTTGTGGGTGTTAACTTGATGTGAAGAATGTAAAGCAAATTCAGAAAAACCTGTAAATAAGCACATGAGACTATATTTCATAATTAATGGTAAAGATACAGTTACTCCTTGATTTTTCAAATAAACAACCATAATGTAGTAATCCAAGTTATTCTGGTGTTGAGATAAACATTTTTTTATTCCTGTCCTAATAACCTTTCATTTAGATTATTTTTTGTTTATATTACAAGTTAAGTAAAACTGTGAAACTGACTTGAATATAAAAAAAAAATCAGTAGTCATGGGTTAAACATTTGTCACTTAAAGTCATTAGCTTAGCTGCAACATGTTACCAAACCAATAAATATAACATTATTAGGTAAGAGGCTTAAAAAAACCAGAATACAATTAAGGATGAATAAATATGTTATTTAAATGAACTGTATGTGAACTTTCAGTTTAAAAGTATACGTTTAAAGAAATAGAACTAAGAAAATTATCTAAAGCTTCCATTTTTACTACTTTTTCCTCCAGTAATTATCTCTTATGTGCTAAAATGATAAGCTCTAGGAGAATAAGAAAAAGTCCTTTCATATTTCATGATAGGTTTAATCAGGTAATTCCAGGAGGGAAAAAAATCCATTAAAACAAAATCTGATGATAATCATCTGGTATGTCCAATTACATGGGTATGATGTAACAAAAATGGTTACAAACTTATATATGCATATTTACATTATATAGTCAAAATTATCAAGCTAGTTAACTATATCTGAAGAGATACATTAAAACCGAGTTAAACAGATGTTCATTGCTTATTAGAAAGAATGCAGTCAAGCTGTTAATGGAAATAATATACAAGTGAGGCACTTTTGAGGTCAGGAATAGGAAGCAAATGACACTACACACTGGAAATGTTCACAAAAAATCTATGTGTATTTTTAATACAAAGATTTTTCAACTAGATTATTCTTGAAAAATTTCCAAACAACTTAGGCAATTTAAGAAGCTTTCAGGAATAATGGCTAACATTTATCAGTGTACCAAAGTATATGAACGTTTTATAACCACCTGGCTGCTAGGCAAACAGTACATAATACCTTAAAGCCCTTTTCTTTTTCTTTTGGTTTATATAAATCACCTCAGGTTGCATTTCTTTTTTTAAAGAAATTCATTCTTTATGTTTGTCTCACTGAAAAACACCTCATGGTGTTATTATTATGATTTACAGACACTTTTAGTGCAACAAGAATGCCAGTTTCTGGTGCTTCCTCTAATACTTGAAATGTGATCATGGAAGTCAAATCAAGAATAAGCATAATAATTAGTAAAGAATCTTTCTCAGGTAAGTAAAGTTTTCTAAGTTTTATGTGGAAAAATATTACACTTGCTTAATGCACCTTTGGGCTACAATTAAAAACCCAATTTAACACATATTTTCAACTGTAATCACAAAATCTAAAGTAAATTTCAACACAAGAAATATCCTTAAAATTCTTTACATTGACCATTTAGAGGAAAGCACATTTCCTGGACTTTGGAGACTTACATGCATATTAAGAAACATTTCTGCGCCATTTAACTAAAGGGGCAGGGGAGAGGAAAAAGAAAATAAAGTGAGACTTACCCAAGTTATCAGATGGCACTATACACATGAATTGAAAGTGCATTTGCATTACTTCAAAAGCTCATTTTAGGCACTGCTGAATAACCAATGAAAATAGGTAGTTTCAAGTTTTTCCCTTTACATTTTAACCCTACCCCATCATCACTTCAGAAACATACACACAGCTGGGTACAGTGGCTCACGCCTGTAATCCCAGCACTTTGGGAGGATGAGGCGGGTGGATCACCTAAAGTTAGGAGTTTGAGATTTGCCTGGCCAACATGGTGAAACCCCATCTCTACTAAAAATACAAAAAATTAGCTGGGCGTGGTGGCGGCTGCCTATAATCCCAGCTACTCAGGAGGCTGAGGCAGGAGAACAGCTTGAACCTGGGAGGCGGAGGTTGCAGTGAGCCGAAATCATGCCATAGTAGTCCAGCCTGGAGAACAAGAGTGAAGCTCTGTCTCAAAAAAAAAAAAAAAAAAAAAAGAAGAAAAAAAGAAACATACACACACACTCTCTGAAGTTGTCACGATAAAATATAGGTGTGATTACGTTTTCTCGTGTTTTGAGTATTATTTTTAAAAATTCTCCCTGACTGGCGGAAGGAGAGAAAAAACACCATTTTGGTAATGGCTTTTGAGAGTTAAAGCAACTGGTTCTATAAATGTCTCAGTACATCCATTGTTTGATTGCCAGTCCCAAATATCAACAAATATTTCAAAACAGGATATGTAAGAAAAAAGTGCTTAAAATATTTCAGCAAGCCAACAAGACACATTAGGAAAATAACCCTTTTACAATTCCTTCGAGATAGTTCTTATTCCTGGTTTCCCTGGTAGGAGGTGGTCACCACTCAAATAGGTAGTAGTGACGAATCAGATCCCTATTGCCATCTCTTGTCTCTGGCCTGGAAATCAACCAGTAGGTGGTGCTGAAGCCCCACATGACATATTTCTTCAGAAATCAAATGAGGTCCCCTTTTAAGCCAGAAATATCATTTAAGAATGATCGATTTTGAACAAAACAAGTTCATGAGCCATACTATCTAGATGATTCCATTTTCAAGACTATTGCTTAAGCAGTTGTGTTGAGCCATCTGCTTATAATATCAGATAAAAACAAACATTTGAGAGGAAAAGCCAATTGGCAGCGCCAAACCTGTACAGAGAATGAGAAAATGTTCCTGAAGGTGCCTACACACACGTTTAAAAATCAGTGATTTAAACTACCCATTTGCTTTTACAAAGGAATTCTAATTTACTCAAAAGAAAATTTCCATACAGGGATTCAGAGAACATTATATCATCAGTTAGTCTTGTAGACTGATTTAGAAACTGGGTATGTTAACTATAAAGATCCAATGTAAAATAAAAACCATTTCATCACCATAGTTTTTAATGAAGAAACTTGTTTAAAATTGTAAAGGAAAAAACAGGAATGGGACGGCAAAATCTTAGCAGCAAAGTGGTTAAACAAATTGAAAATATTAATGCACAAACATTAAAATATTAAAGCATATATGTTGCATATAAAATACAGTACAGAACCAGGAGTTGCACTATACTGATTAGTGCTTAACAGAAGAAATGATTAAATTTGTTCCTCCCAGAAGTATATACACAGTTCATTTCCACAGCATTTTCCTATATAGCCAGCAAGTTATTTTCTTCAGTTATTCACACCTTGATCAAACCTGAATTATCAACTCAACACTTACAATTATGAAAATTCATTCACAAGGAAAACCAGTATTTCCATTTCACCAATAAAAATTTTGAAAGTTAACAGTCTATTCTAGGAAACCAAGTTTAGGTGAAAACTTCAGGGATGAAGATCATGTATTGTAGCAGCATTCAAATATATAAACAGTAAAAATAAGACTTAAAACTGCTGCTACAGTGTCATGTTTCGGATTTAGTTCATCCAATTGATTTTTAGTACAAAACTAGAAATACCCTCTTCTTCATAACATCTATAGTTATCAATATATTTTTCTTCTTTTCAATGTGAAATAATACTTCAAGATGATCTATATACACAATGTTGTCAGTTCAAGCTGTCATATAAATATAAATGCTTTCTTAAAAAAAAGTATTTTACAGACAGATAGTGTTATATACATTGTTCAGTTTGATCTGGGGCTAAAGAAAAAAGCTAACGCAAGTTTAGTGTGATATATAAAAAGAATGATATATAAAGGATGTTTAAAAACCTGCATAGAAAATGAGCTTCAAATGGTAGTGTGATTTTAATTTTTATCACCTCTGAAACTTCAAGCCATTAAAAAAAAGGCACACTTCTCAACTTTATCCCTCTAAGGGAATGTTCTTAAAGAACCCTTTCCTTGGTTAGAGTTTTAATGTAATACTTAACAACAACAACAACAACAACAAAAAAAAAAAACAGACAATTTGACCTCAAGGTACTATAAAGTTTGTTGGAACATTCATCCAACTATTTTCTAAATTAAACATCCAGTAATATAATGCTCTGTAAAAGAAATTAATTTATATGTACAAGATACTTCATTTACAATGTTGGATTAAATACTTTGCTGGGGGAGTTTAGCACACATTTTAACATAAAATAATTTTTCTTTTGGCCAGTTTAAATAAAAATAAAATGTAACTGATAAAACGTTATCATTGTTACGCAAATAATAAGTACTGAGGATTAAGCTAGAAATAAGCTGAGCCTATTCTGGTTTAGCAGAATGATAAATGAAGATCTCAAGAGGAAGCTTTTACACTAACTATCCAGTCAAACTTTTGCCTTGTAAAACATTTGTAAATGCAGTATAATTTTTTGAAGGAGGAAACTCTGAAAGAAAACAACTTGCTGGTTGAATACCACAAAAAACAAAACAACTAAAAAAACTTCACTTTTTTTCTATGTTTGTTTACTCAGTCTCTTTTTATATAAAAATAAGTGTTACGTTCCCATCAGAACATTAGACAATTACATCTGTGCTTTAAAAAAAAGTTGGTCACTGAAGGCTATTAGAATATTTTTAAGGATTTTAGATTACCAGAATGTACAGATATAACTCAATATAAATTGTAGCCAAAGAGAAATAAGGATGAAAATATCAAATCATTCACATGGAATAAAAACATTATTAACTAGATGAGTTAAATATTCAAAATATATGGAATGTGACAGTAGATATATATATATATATATGTATATATCTACTTCAGAACTAGGAAGGGAGGCAAAGTTTAATATGTAATAATTCGTACCTTACATTTAGTTAAATATAAACATTTGTTATTTATACATAAAACTGCTTTCAAAAAACAACTAATAAATGATTTAGTTGCACTTGTTTTACTTCTTGTAATTCCCAAGTGTTAACTTTTCTTAGATAGAAATCATCTGTCCCCTAGTGCAATTTTATTTTTAGTCCATGTTCTAATAAATCCAAACCTTTAAAAGCCCATCACCTAATGCCTAAATATACAAAAAAATGCCAAAAATTAATCCCTTTTAGTTGGATATTTTATGCTGACTTTTTATAGCCAATAACCAGATATGGTTTCCTTCTGCAAATACTCTACAACCTGTAACAAAACATGCCATGCACCCAAGGGAAAAGTTAGGCATGGCTAGCATTTGTGAAACGCCAAGAACTGATGAGTTCTGCTTCCTCCACGTGTGGCCTCAATGATACCAGGCAAGATTCCATATTGCTTGCCAAAAGCTTCCATAAATCCAAGTTAGCTAATTCCTGGAAACAAAGATTTTAAGCTCATTTTGGCACTGGATCATTTCATCCAGCAGCTTTATGTTTCCCACCACAGCAACCACATGCCTCACCACAGCGATGGCACATTCTCAAAGGGACGTAGCAGCACATACATGGTACAATGAAAGACAAAGCTACCAGGGCTAACCATCGCAAGCAGAACTTGTCGTCACTAGTGTCACATGAACAGGGATCAGAAAAATCTCCCTCCGAGTCTGACATACAATGATACAACATGCTCTCTGCACAGAGCATGCAACTAACTTGATATATGCATCTTTTAATAGGGTCTGGAGCATCCTGACATTTTCCCCTGACGTTTTCTTCATGATTAAACCTTTCCTGGCAGTATACGCAGCGAGAACGTTCACCATCCTCTTTTCTTCGTTTTGACTTCTTAAATTTTAATGAGGAAGGCTGCGTCTTAAATACCACAGAGTCTTTGGGTGAACTTAACTTAGTCTCATCCCCACAAGAGTACAGATAGTCTGATTTTTTACTGTCTGGTTTAGAAAAGTGAATACTGGAATCAGCATCATCTCTTTCCAAGTCATTTTTCCACATGTCAGGATGTCTGTAGTCTGCATAGCGACGTATTAAGATATCCCGAGGGTTTATTCTGACAATCTCATCCTCTTCTTGAAAGCTGACATGTCTGATTGATTTCAAAGGGACCTAAAAAAGAAACAGATTAAAAACTCCAATAAGGGCTATGAAGGTTAATTTTATGTGTCACCTTGGTGCAGGCCACAGTGTCCAGATAGTCATTCAAATATTATTCCGGATGTTTCCATGATATGTTTTTGGGATGAGATCAACATTTCAATTCGTGGACTATGAGCAAAACACAGTACCTTCTGTGATGTAGGTGGAACTCATACAATCAGTTGAAGGCTTTAACAGAACTAAGACTGATCTCCCCCTGAGCAAGAAGAAACTCTGCCAGTTGGCTGCCTCTGGACTCAGACGACAACAGTTTCCTGGGTCTCCAGACAGCCTAATCTGCAGATTTTGGATCTGTACCTCTACCACTGCATGAGATATTTCCTTAAAATGTTCTTATCTATCTGTCCATCCATCTATCTATCCATCTGTCCATCCATCCATCTACCCACCCACCCATCCATGATGTTCTATTTCTCTGGAAAACCTTAACTAAATTCTATTCCCTAGATACATAGAATTTAGGCTAAAAAAAATCTAGGTCTGAGCTAAGGATGGGATGATGGATACAGTTTATTAAATTAACAATATATAATCCCTTTTGGTCCCATCTGGTGACAAACGCAGTTGTGGCAATACTTCAGACTCAAATGAGAAGTTTGGAGAGTTTTTAACTAACAGCATTTATAAGTACATATATAGCAAATTTATATAATGAAAAAAATTTTAGTACAATTCAACTATATAAAGAATTAGACTGTAAAACTTCACCTATATACTATTTACTTAAATGCCATATCAGAAGATAAATTAACATTATTTACCCTATTTTGGGACTTTAGACTTCCACACTCCTTGGGTATTTGCCGCTGTACATATTCCATACTTCTGCTCTGAATGTCCAGGCCTGGCTGACCAAATGTTATCTAAAATACAAACAATTTCTACTTAAATGACATAATAATCTTACTTTTAATTAAACTATGTACAGTGTATGTTCCAAAGCCTCATAACCTATTAGCAGTAAAGTTTTTCAAAAATGCTTTTGAGAATAAATATAGAATGATTCCCCACCATAAAACAAAAACAAAACACTAGGTCTCTTCTTATATATTTAAACATTAACAAGTAATAAATGGTCAAAAAAGTACAAACAACACAAATATCCATTAACTAATGAATGGATAAACAAAATGTAGCAAATCCATAAAGTGGATGAGAATGTTGGACAAATATCATTCCAGGTAATGGTTACCTCTAGGATGAAGGCAAAGGGATAGACTGGGGGTGTTCCTTTTTTGTTTGGTGCTTTCTCAAGTATTCAGTGAATACACATTCTTTTCTATGTATTAAACATGTCATAAATTTTTGATATATGTTGCATATTTGTCTACAAGTGAAATGAACCCCAGGAGCATGAAAGAGAAAATGAGCTAAAGAGCTGTAATGGCTTCCAGGCCTATAAGACTTTGAAAATAATATATCTATCCATCCAAAGGATTTTTTTTTTTTTTTTTTTTGAGACAAGGTTTTACTCCATCACCCAGGTTGAGTGCAATTGCGTGCATGGCTCACTGCCACCTTGATCTCCCTGGCTCAAGCAATCCTCCTGCTTTAGACTCCTGAGTAGCTGAGACTATAGGTGAATACCACCAGACCCAGCTAATTTAAATATATATACATATTTTGTAGAAATGGGGTCTTGCTATGTTTCCCAGGTGGTCTCAAATGCCTAGACTCAAGTGATCCTCCTTCCCAGGTGGTCTCAAATGCCTAGACTCAAGTGATCCTCCTACCTCAACCTCCCAAAGTGCTGTGATCACAAGTGTGAGCAACCAAGCCTGGCCTCAAAGGATTTACTAGGTCTTCAAAGCATTAAAAAATGAGTCAAACACAAACACTGGCAATGCCTATTTAAGCATTACTAAGGGAAAAACTTAAGCTAGCATTAGCTGACAATTCTTTATGGGTCCCATCTCTCCATATCTAGTGAGCATATGCACTACCTGTCTTTTGTTTTGGATTATCTTTTCAAGGATGTCCATAGAGTGAAACACTTTAAAGACATAGTGTTTCCTCTTTGGAGACAGGCTTGTTTGGTGTCTGGTATAACAAAGATAGTATCTCCTTCCTCAGCAATTCAGGCAGGCTATTCAACTGCATTAAAAGTCATTATAAAAGACTTGGCTTTCTTAAGTTCAGGATTCCAATGCTGGGATGCAAACCCCCTGAGTTTTCAAAGTATTTCTGAGCATCATTCCCATGAGATTTGGAAGAGCAACAAAAACCAACACAAACATGAAGCTCATGCTACTACTGTACTGTGAATAATAAAGCCCTTTGTCTCTGACCCAGCAGCCATGTCTTCTAAGCAGCATTCATAAAACTGCTAACTTGCTACCTTAGACTCTTTATAGTTCAGCCAAGGCAACTGTCTTGTCCTTTTGGCAAGGTTGTTCCTCTGTCGTAGAAAAGGATTCATCAACTTACCCCAGTTCAATGGAATTAAACATTCAAAGGACATAATTATTTTGTTGAGCATTTACACTCACCAAGCTTCAGTGATGATCTCATAAAGACCTATTTTTGGTAAAGAATATATTAATCAAGCTACTACTAGTAACAACAGCCCTCATGATGGCTGAAATCAAATTGTGTTATAATTTTTACATACCATTTTCTTAAACTCAATTTGAATCTCTGAAGATGACTTTAGTCCTAGTATCCTAAGAAAATAAAGTGTCTGGTCTGCGAGCTAAGGGCCAGACTCTACTATGGAAAATTCATCCTGTGAGGTCTTCTGGGTCACATACAAATGGACAACTGGTACACCATTTTAAGAGCACTGTGCTGAATGGAACTGTGTTTTGTTCCTATTAAGAAACTTCTACAATATTTCTTTACTATATGTATAGCTATAGTCTAGTGCTGCTTTAAAAGAGAAAAACCATTCCATTCTAATTTCTATTAAACTGAGAAGGTCGCCGAATATAACATCAGCAAACTCTAGGGGGTAGATACTGTTATTATTCCAATTCACAGACGAGGATACTAAGGCACAAAGAACTTAAGTAACTTGCACAAGGCCACACAGCTAGTAAGTAAAGAAGCGGGAATTCAGACCCAAACAGAATGGGCTCTATTGGCCATGTCATAATCCCAAAGCTAACAGCTGTCTGCCAAATGTTGTTTCACTTCTCTCTCTGTAGTATTTAGTACTTTTTATACTTTCTACCTGATGACTACATTCCTCAACCACCCCATCATGACCACCATTACTATTCTGGGAGAAGAGTTCAGTTCTTTTTCCTCATCAATCAAAAGAACACCTTTAAATTTATAGTTCTTTCAGCCAAAGAAGGTAGGCCAAATAAATTCCCAGGGTCTGGGATGAGGAATATTGGTATAATATAACTTTCCTGTGTTACATTCACCGGGTTTCCTTTCCCTGCTCAACTGTATGAAACAGTGACTTAATTTAGGATATGCATACTTCCACTCTCTCCTACGTTGAGATGAGTTTTTCTGCCCACTACTCAAGATGTGGGAAAATATTTTGTATTTAAAATTGTTAAACTGAGTAGCTCCAGATTCAAATTTCTCATAGGATGCCTGCAAGTTTACAAGCAAATATGACTCCTGGTGGGTTCATTTTAATATCCCAAAGTCTCTAGTGAGAGTATGCAGATTGCTTTCAGCCTTTATTCTTACAATTATTTTGCTCAAAGTAAAACTGGCTTGCAATTTTCCTTCTTGTACAAATATCTTATTTTTTTAATAAAATTTCATAATAAGTTTGGACAACATATATAAACTACAGATAATTTTTAATCACTAAAATTAGGTAGTTTGTCAGTTTGTTGTGAGGATTAAAATGAGTATATAAGTAAAGCACTTAAAATAGTATCTAGCATGTTGTAGGCACCAGCTATAATAAAGATTAATAATAATGATCAGTGAAAACTAAAGCTACAGGAAGCCTGGGGGACTGACCTGGAGCCTTTTACAATTTGTGTCTACCTTGAATAATTCCCACTGTATTTGCTATGGCATGAGACTTGCTGGATGCAAAGCTCCTAGATGATACAGAAGTTTTTTTTTTTCTTCTTTTTCTACCCACTTTTAAGACTTTGGGAAAAGAACAGCAGGGCCCACAATGCTGAATTAATCAAGTTTGAATTTCATTAACTCTCTCTCTAATAAATCTGTAGCGCCACCTAAACTTCACTTCCACCTTGGAAAATGAAGTAATTCTACCTCTTCTCATGCAATTCTCCTGTCTTTTGCCTTTGCTCTATTAATTGCCTTTGCTCTATTAATTTTTTTCTCTGTCCTGAGTCTTTTAACTTCTGCACTTTCTTCATCTTATGACCATATTCATTTCTTGAACCTGCATCCTTCTAACCCCATCTATTTGTTAAGGAAGCCTTTTGCAGTCAAGCTTCTAGAGAAGTGGCTAGCAAACATCGCCTTTGTTTCCTCTCCAGTCATGCATACCTCTTAATCCCACTGAAATTGTGGTACAGTTACCAATTACCTTTATGGAGATGAACTGGAATTTTATTGGGGCATTTTACCGTAAAACACTAATTAACTACTCCATCATTTCCTTTACATTGTCTTCCCCAGGCTTCTGAGACATCCTTTTCTGGTTCTCGTAATGTGACTGGTCTTTTTAAACTCACGGTCTCAATATTTAGTGATTCCCTACTGTAACAGTTTTAAAATAGAACACAGTCTTCTAAAATAACTCTAACTTCTCCTCATAGTTTCAGTTTTCATTCTCTGATAATAATTCCCAAAATTTATCTCTAGTCTTTAACTCTCCCTGAGCTTCAAACAATAAAGAGCTACTGGTTGAAAACTTCTAAATCTGTTCAAAAACATTAAGTCACAGATTCCAGTAGCTCTATACACCCAAAACAAAATACATAACCTAATACCTAGATATAGCATAATAAAGCATCTGAAAACAATAAAGGTATTATTTCTTAATAGAAAGCGTAGAAACTTCTTCTCAATGGTATTACATCTTTTAAATTAATGAAAGAAAATAAATTATAACTTAGAATTCAAAAGAGCAAAACATCCTTCAAAAATAAAAGAAATCAAAGTTTTTTTTTTTCAGATAAATGAAAACTGAGGCTCAGCAAGCACCAAAAAACAGCAAATGATCCTAGATGGAAGCATAATACATAAGGTATTGAAGAATGTCAAAAGTCATAAAAAGGTGAATAAACCTCAATGAATGCTCCCTGTTTCAAATAATATTTTGCAAGGTTTCAAATTTTATAGAGATAAAGTTCGTAATGACAATTACAAAAAAGGTAAAAGAGAGGTAAATGGAGTTAAGATACTGTAGATCTGTGCATTATCCTGAAAATGGTACAACAATAATACAGAATAGATTTTAAGGAGTCAAGATATCTCAAGGATAATCACTAAAAATATTAAACAACTGTATTACCCATTAGCTAATAAAGGGATGATAATCAGGCAATTAAATATATTTGAATAAGCAAAGTGAAAGAAAAAAACACACACAGCAAATGGGGCAAATAAAGTGAATAAAATGGTAGATTTATATCAATAATTGTAAAGTAAATGAACAAAATACTCCAATTAAAAGACAAAGACATTCTTGGGGCAGGGGGACCTAAACCCAACTACACATGGTTTTAAACAGAGGTCTTAAATAAATGATACAGAAATGCTGGAAGTAAAAAAAAAAAAAAAAAAAAAAAAACTATTGTGAAAGTGCTAACCAGAAAAAAACTGATGTAGTCTGATATCAAAAAAGTACTTTTAGGCAAGAAATATTACTAGAGACAAAGAAAGTTATCTCATAATGACAAAAGGATCAACTCAACAAAAACGCTGCTATACCCACTACTAAAACACTGATCATATGCTGGGCCATCAATCA